AAAACCCAAAGCAAAGGAACGGAAAAGAGGGTGCCGCCAGTGTTTGGAGTGTGGCTTTTCCTAACACGATCTTGGCTGGTTCTCGCCTCAAGTACCGTACGTGTCATGGCATACCAAGCCACAAGAGGCCGGTAACTATAGTAATGGTTCTGGCATTCTGATTGGCCTGTCACTTTCTCGTTGCTTGTTTTATTTGATAATTGGTTACCTGACATCAGCTCTTAGGCTCGTGGCCCGAGAGCAGGAGTTTCCTTCCACTCTCGAAAGTTAGGCGAATATAAAACTGTTTCTTTTGTTATAAATTTTCACAGAAACAGCAAGAAATGCCAGAAACATCTGAAATATGTAAATCTGAACAGGCAGAATGTATGAGCATGACTTTATTGTAGTATTAGAGACACGTTTATGCAGAACGGAACTTGGAATGTTTTGGAATTATGTCACTCAGTCACGTGACTTTGGGCCGGAATCCCGGTCCAGTGGAACAATATGGCGATTACTAGTTACCTGCCATACTGTGTCCGACTTGCTATTTGCAAAGGACGCCGGGAACCAGCAAAAACACGATCACGCACCGGTTCGTGGGCCGGTTATGAATGACCGGCTTTAGCGAAACCGTGTGATTCGGACGATGTCAAATGTTCATAGGTTAAACCGATGCCCCCTGTCTCAGCTGCGGTTACTACCGGCGGGTGTCGTCGATGGTGACGGGAGAAATAAACTAAGAAGTACTGCTACTTACTGAATCAAGACCCAGCATATCGTAGAAATTTTTCTGAATTTCTTCTACGAGATCAAACAGCTCCAGTTCTTCACTATCCCATGCATCTGCCATTCCTAGTACAAGCACAAACAACACAAGTTTTGGCATCGTTGTGAACATTGTAGTACCAGAGCCTGACTCAGTAACCGCAGCTGACACTGGGGGCGCTTTTTTATTCCGGGTCAAGAAAGTGACCGAAAAAAAGCAGCCGTTTTTCCGGAAGTTGTGTTCTTGCGGTAAGTTTTGCTTCGTAATTTTGACCCTAGCGTTTAGAATGTTCTATTAAGCTATGGTATATCGCCTGAAAGTCACCATACTTGAATAAATGACATAGCAAGTTTTGGAAAAGTGAAATCTTGGGTGAAAAATCAATATACCTTGGTCTAACCACCGTCCCTCAACAGGGACGGTGTTGAGGGACGGCGGTCTAACCTATGAACATGTGTTACTTTATAGCTGGGACCTCGTTTGCGTTTATACGAAAAATGAAATTCATCCAGATTTGGAACTTGACAATTTTGCCCCCAACTTGATCCAAAATTGTAATATACTCAACTAAAACAAGTCATTGAAAATGACACAGTCCCCGTTAAGTTCTCTTTGTGCTCGTCATATTAAAGCGGAGGGGTTGTCACGAGTGTGTCCTTGAAACTTGAGTTCCAAGTGGCGTATACAACAGATTGTTTATTTACATCAAAACACGTGTTTCGTGTCATAGTAATATGGCCAAAGTAAAAACAGCCGTTATTCAGCCATCTTTGATCTGATTATGAAACACACTGATATGTATGATGTATGTGCCAAATACGAATGAAAATGGTACATAAATTGTGGAAATATAGTAGTAAGGCCAAAAAGTCAGATGGCTGTCAATCGGCCATCCTTGACCAGATTTTGAAACAAATTGTCATGGATATGCATCCTAACATGTATAAAGTACATGTATGTGCCAAATTTGAATGAAAACTGACAGAGTACGTCCAAGATACCGCATAAAAAAACAAAAACAAGATGCCTGCCAGTCGACTATCTTTGATCCATCATGAACATGTATCCTAACCACAGTCAGCTGGCGCACACGTGATAATAAAATAAATACGATATTTACTATATGGGGGCCGCCATCTTGAATGCAGCGAAAACTAAATAAGAGACAAGTTGTGAAACGCGTTTTTCAGATTCCTACAAATCAGGACAAAAATACCAATCTTTCACAAAAATACGGTCCGTTGGGGTTATATTAAGCCAACCGATAACAAAATTCGGCCTAATTCGTCGTTTTTGCGTGGAAAAATCCCTTGCATACGAACACCTAATTACGCGAAGAACATAGAACACTAAGCCGGGGTATTTGAAACCAAAATTGTCATCTAAACGTTAGGCCGTCGCTGATTGGCTGCTGAGCTGGAATGCAAATTTTTAGTTTCAAATACCCCGGCTCAATAATAATGTTCTGGATAAGGAAACGTCCACGTCCAATTTCTTGGCCGACTCAGAACGAGGCTTCAGCTAGAGAACCTAATTAGCATGCAAGGGTGATTTGTGACGTCACGGGGGGAACTTGTCATCATTTCACAATGGCCGCTATACGCATGCAGTGCTCGGAAAGTGACACAGAATCGATCTTATCATCGTCTGACGAGAGTTATGAGATCGAGGAATATGATGACAACGAGAGATGTCACGATTTTGTTTTAGAGTGCCAGGGACAAAGTGGCCCAAACAGGTTTGAACCTGCGAGAAAAGTACGCGATGTGGGTGACCGTGTACCTCCCCAAAATGACCATGGCGATTCAGGCACCCGGTTAAGGCACATGCACAGAGTTTGAACATCGTGACCGAAAATCTTAACAATGTTATTTTTATTAAACTCCACCTGAACAATGTATCAATAATGTTAGAAAATCTGCACTCTAAAATGTAAATTTGTGTGCGTCCGATTGATCGCGTGTTCTATTTCCAGTAGGACGCGAATACCTACAACTGCAAGATCGAAACAAATGAAATTGTACTGATAAATGATTCGGGCGTAAAAATTGGCACAGCAGATAACGTTATGAGGAGAAGGTCCATTCCAATATTTCCTGGTGTTCTTAACGGCTTTGGTCCACTGATGCCGTAAATTCGAATTATTGTTGTTTCCCCCCAAGGAGAAGACAAGCCGAAGGACCATGAAGCTAAATAGAAGTCCCACGCATGTACTGAGTGAAAGAAAATATTAAATAAAGGCTAAAATAAAACATAATATTACACCTCTTTGTGTATTTGTCAATTTTGCATATATTTGGTATATATATATGTTCGTATATATCTAGAAAAATCTCGTCTTTCGTTAATAATTTCATTTGTTTGAAAGGTCCACCGACCGTGTCCTAATAATTTGTTTGGAATATCGATCCCCGTTGGTTTCTCCAAACGGTCCCGACGTCCGCCATTCAACACAATCAGCATTTATTCATAGCAATTCACCGGGATCATGTTCCGTAATTTGCGGGCTGTAAAACCAAATAATGAAACAAGTACTATTTATTATATATTTTTTTACCTCTCGAAACTACAACAGTGCGTAGAGTTATCGCAGTGGAATAGTCGCCTTGAAATCGATGGAACTTCAACTATCCATTTCTCACCTTGAAATAAAAAAATCGAAGAGCATCGGGGGATATATTATTAACCAGTCTTGCCAATCGCTAGCTTTATTTTATTCGAATCCATAAAATTCACGAGTTTTTCGACATTTGTTGGCAACTTCCGCGCTAAAAATGGATGAACTATAAAACAAAGGTACACATTGTGTACAGGAATGCATAAATGACTGACAAATCCAATGAGTGTGTGGCGAAATGTATATATTAGCAAAATCGTTCACAGGCAGATTGCCAATAATCGTTTTGTTCATTCTAATTCATGTAAAACTGTAATAAATCAGAATCACAACACAAAATAAATTCAATAAAAATTCAATAAAATATTGCGAAATACAAACACTTAAATTCCAGTTCATGCAATACAAACGTTTCCGTTTTACAATCACATACGGCGCCTCGGTATACATACGAGTCAAAAGTACGATCTTGCATGTAAAAAACCCAGTTTCAAAACTCAGTGCGTTAGACAAATGCGACGATAAATATATATCACAGTTCTAACCAAATTGTGTTACATATTAGTAGGAGTTTTAAAAATAGATTTATTACAAGCATTTGATGTCCAACAATATAAATGACATCTCATGTTCTAATATAGAATGTTGTGACTGCTACTTTAAAGTGCATGAACTTGCTCAGAATAAATGGAAAATATGAAGAACACTGAAATCAAAATTAAGCCCTAATATTCACTTATGCATGCCTCTATTCCAGGGTCAGACTAAAATAAATTCGGAAAACTTGCATCAAATATGCACAACGAAAACTATGTATACATTTGCTTCGAAAGTCAGGATCCGGAGATATCGTCACAAGAGGCCGCTATCGCAACGTCAATAATTTAGAACCTTTGATCAGTCTTCTTGGTTCTCAAGTAGTTGATACAGAGTGATTGTTCTTAACCACAACCAACTACAGGAGTTATGTTGAAAAACAAGACTGGGTAGATATGCACTGTCAGTCAAAATTTAGGGCAATATTAAAGGGGAGCAGAGGTGTGGCTTTTGACACTCTGTACATGAAATTTGAGATCTATAAATGAATTCTGTCGATAAAAACAACTTGTATGTGCTGCGAAATGCCCTAAATGTCGGGTATAAAACAGGCTGTGAAGCAGACGACAAACGTCCGCTTTTCCTGGCGTGATATTAGCATATTTCTCATTTAGTTTTAACTCGTACAATATTTATTCACTCTGTTCACTATAGCCAGAACGCTGTACTGTCTTCACTTTCAGATTAGTTCTTCTGCCGATTTCTTGCAACCAACAACGTGATTTTTTATTTGGGATTTCGAGAAACATAAAATGAATTGTTACGGCATTCATAACACAACACCTTGCCATGTTTCAACTTTTAAGTAGTCAGTTAACAAGGTCTTTCATAGCAGCATTTCTATGGGATTGACGTACTAGCATGAATGGGTTCAATTATCAGTGTTCACTGATGACGTCATTTGACTACTTGCGAATCGCTAACAGGAAAGTTGCCACATGTTACGTTCAGATTACAGAGTACACAATCTTTAGGGCTAATAGCCAGGGGTGTCCATCACAACTTGGTTTGTGAAGTTGCGAAAAAGTCAAAAAAAAAAAATTGAATATCATCTGAATGTAACGTCTGGAGACTGGAAAGATTTTAACAACAAATTAAAACAGTTTCATTCAGAGTTTGATATGAAAAACTAGCTTGTTTCCAATCGGTACTATACTATCGATCCCCAGCCGGCCAGCGGCACTTCTGTGGACTGTCTCGCACATGAAGAGCAAATTCGTCCCGTCTCGTAAACAAAGAAAAATGAACCAGTTTTATTAAATTTATTATTTACCAAATAATAAAACATTAGTTTATTTTGTTTTTATCGTGGGATTGCAAAATCCGACCTATTTTGGCCGCCATGTTGTTTGTAGTTGATCGTTATAAATTATGCTAATGAAGCTAGCGCATGGGCAAAATGTATTGTTACTGAGGGGTCATCTCAACGAAAAATATTTTCTATTTTCTTTTTTTTATAAAAGGTAATATCAATGATTCGCAATCTGGAAAATTCATTTCTTTTGGGCAGTTTTGACACGTCGTGTGCTTGCAACAAATAACTGTAAAATTGCGTGTACGATCATCGTGTTTCATTTCTGGATTTGTTTGACTTCCTGATTCAACACCAATAGTTGGAGCAATCGTTACGAGTTTGGTAAATTTTGTTTATTACCAATGCTTCTTCATTTTTAATGCTTGTTTGTTTTTTCAAACACGGCAACTTTGCCTGTGCATTTTGTCACAGTGTACAATCGACAATACTAACGATGGGACTGATTACCGCCTGTGATGGAATATGTGTAAGAGACTGGGGAATAAGACTGCATGGCGAGAGTGTGAAAGACCGAGCTGAAACGCCAATGCGGCCGATCGTTGACAATCGTTCTTATGCATTAAATACACCAATGAATCCATGGGCAGAATCACTTGGTTTCAGTGAATTTACATGATATAATTTGTAGTAAAAAAGTAAAACTGTGTAATTATCCAGATGAAAATGAGTGACTTTTATTAAAAAAGACCTATTCATTGTACAATGTGTAGGTTTGTTTTTATGTTTTGCTTATGATCTCCCTTAAAATCCTCGCCCTAAATAATATTCATGATTGAATGAATAAATTAAGCCACCTCTATATAAAGACCACCTGACAGTTTGGCTCAGTCCACTGACTGTCCTTTATAGACAGGTTTGACTGTATTATTATTATTATTTGGGTATGAATTATATGATTATTATGGATAATTGTACAATTCTGTGAAATAGCTGTGTTGTGTGACAGAATTGCTACAGATGGGAATGACAAGCTCACTATAAAAATATAATGAAACTGGGACTTTAGTCTTTGGTTCTGTGTGT